AAAGAGGATGGTTATGTTGCTTTGTTAGTGGCTCCTCTCCAGCGGCAGGCGCGTTGGCGAATGTGAAATGCGCTCCTTTTGGGTTCTTGACCAGCTTCGCGATGAGTGTTACGGTGCAACCTAGCTTGATGGAGGTTTTGGTTTGCGCGGGATCTAGGGATTTCTCCGGGACGATGGGTAAGGGATCTCAGCAGTGTATGCACTCGTATGTGATGGTGTAATACTTGTGCGTGTCATGGTTTTATCCTCTTTGGTTAACGTACTGACGTGTTTCCTTTTGACAAACATTTGACTTATGTACTTTCTTATGTAGTTCTCCAATCTGTTAATGACAATAACTTCATTAATTTTCTTCGTCAGTTCTTTTACAAGGTCGACCATGGCTCCGCGTGTAAATACCACAAATAAGGTTTGAATTCGTCTCAGTAATCCCGGAAAGTACTGTCCAGTAACCCTCCACTTGGCACATTTTTTATTTTTCTACAGTTCAGACAGACGTGCGCTGTACGAGCACATTCAGCATTCAGCATTCAGTGAATTGAGTGATGTGACTGGGCAGGCAGCACATGTGAATGGTGAATGTGCTCGTACAGGTAGTACAGCTCACACCGTACAAAAAAGGTGCCAAGTGGAGGGTTACTCTACAGTACAAGTCTTTCAAATTATTTCAGAATTTTTAATCCAGCAATTTCTTTGGATTAAAAACTGATTCTGCCTAGTTCGTCAACGCTACTTAACAACATAAAGTCGTAGAACTTTGTACGAGTAAGTACAAAACGTTTGTTGTTTAACCGTACAAAACGTTTGTTGTTTAACCGTACTTTACTGATTTGGTCAGCATCATGTTCACAGCTATGATATTATGCATTTGTTGCTACGATGCTTCAGCGTAATATAACACAATAAAATACTGGTCTGTTTTTAGACCGGAAATTTTGGGGCGCATAGCAAAGTTGTCTACGCGGTAACGCACCTTAAATATTTTAGTGCTTCCGAGATTTGACCGCGGTTTTTACTGGTGTTAGTGTTACTAATATATTACGGTTATTACCCGGCCCCAAGGCATGATTTCGTACGCTCCCCTAGCGAGCACAAACGGATACAGATTTCGAGCACCCAGCCGATCGCTTGGCGAATACGCAAAACTGTTTGATTCAAAATGGCTATAACTTTATTCTGACATTATGCGCGACAACTTCTTCGGTATCAAAAATCTTCCCACAATTTTCCTCATCTTTTGGCGCATTGGTTCGCAGACTTCATCCAGAACTAGATCCTGTTTTAACAGGATCTGGTTCTGGATGAAATCTTTTGTTATAACAGGATCTGATTCATGAGATCTGTCAACCAAAGCGTCAAAAGATGAAGAAACGTTTGGGAAGATTTTTGATACCAATTAAGTTGAACTTAGCAATAATATCTCAATACAACATGGAAGAGAGCCAGCGCATGTTTTTTTCTGTCGAAGAACCACTCTTGCGTCGCTATCCCTTTTAGGAATGCATGCTCGCCTGGCGAAAAGGAGGATAAGAAGTCGATTAGTTACCAGTTATTCGAACAGTATCGACGCCAGCGCGCTTTTTCTGAACACTGTCGGTACACTCTCACAGACGCTGTAATTAGCATCAGTTTGTGTTGTCAATCGTGGACTGTTTGTGGCAGATGATGCATTATTGTCAATCATCCATACCGGCTACGATTTCCCCATTTACTGTTTGAAACTATTATTTTTTTGAAATAACCGTTTTCGGTAAATAACTAACACATAGACATACTGAGTACCTAGCTAACTGTCATACTGTCTGTATCATTGTCATATTAATTGAAAAGTATATTAGCATTTATTTTTATTTCATTTATATTTAATTAAGCGGTTGTTAAGATTTGATTAGAATAGGAAAAATCTAATTTTTGATTTACTTCCAAACTATGCCTGTAAAATACAGTTACACTGTAGGAACGGGTGCATTCACGTCTTGGAGTTTTTCTCTGGATCTACTGACTGCAGTTATCCCTTGGGGTTCCCCGCTGGCCGTCCAAACTACAGTGGTATTCTGCAGGCGTTCATCGGGGAGCTATATGCTGCCAGCGGTTATTAAGCGCAAGTAACCGGAAATTCGGGCAACTAACCTTTGAGCGCTCGGTGCGCGGTGATCTGTATGTACACAAGTGTCCCTTGTGGCCTTTTTATCCTGCCATTTGTAATCCAGCTCATGCTGTCTTCCCAGATAAAAGATTCTACGAGCAGGGAGATCTCACGTGCAAGTATGTATGCAACTGCACACTGCCGAAACATCAATTTTGCAACTAGATGGGCTTAATAAATGCTGATGTGTTTTTCACTAAATTATATTCTGTTTCCTTTACTGAAATACATATACATGCTATACGGAATGATCTCACATACCTTGAATTTCCAAGCTTTACTGCTTATAATAATCATTTCAACGTATCGTGGTATTGTTATTCTGGCGATTCATGTTATTCCTATTCGGATTGTTGAAATTTTCGTGGGAGATAATCCGCTTTACGGTTATCCCACCACGAAGCCGGCATATGATGTGGCCTTCCGGGAAGTTCAACCACTGTATCCGCGCGTCAGTCGAAATCTAACAACCATGATTAAATATCGTCCAGGTAACTTTACTTGTGGGGAAGCAGCTGGCGAAATGGTGGTTCTGATGAGTGAAATGTGGAATATGGCTGTGGACAAACATACATCTGGACCAGTTATCCTGTTGGCTTCAGGTAAAGCAGCAGCCAGGTGCCTTTACGGACGAACACATTGTGCTCGCGTTGATTAGCCTTAATGATTTCTGCAGCTTGCATTTTTGCGACTGACAGGAAATAAAAAAATCAGCTGTCTGAATTTTTGCATGGCATTTAATGTGAAACGTGGATGCTTGGAAAATTTAAAGCTCCTTAAAAATTAAATAGCATATGTCGTCTGTACAGTGTACTCAGCAATTTCCCGCGTTTTCCATTCATTATAATGTGTTCGTTTATGTTTTTATCGTTATACAGTATGTATACCATTTGTATGGCTGACTAACATACAGAGGAACATTAAGATTTAAAATACTTAAATACAATAAAAAATCAATATAAAAAACCTACAAGTGTAATTGTGTGTACCGCAGGATGCAGTACCGAAATCATTCCAGTCGGTGACTTTGCGCGAGGTAAGTCAGCGCGTGCATGCCTCACGGCTCACGCAATTCTTTGTGAAAGTGAAATGCATCCAATTAATCTTTGTAGTTCAATATTTCTACTGCTGTATGTCGGGTGACTTTGGTTGAATAACCATGACTTGTGTGAAGTGGATATATATACAGTACTTCATTATGTCATGTCCAAGCCATAATATCGAGTCTCACGTGCATTAATTTATTCCTACTATCTGTTTCAGAGTTCCAGTTTCCAGTCCTTGCTAGGTAAAGCTTTCTAATGTTTCGGATTTAATTAGCGTTTGTGATGCAAACTTGGGGTGACAGCACAGTATTGTACTTGCGTAAATCAAGCTTCTGATCGCTCCTTAAGCCCGAATGTACTCGTAGCTCGGCTTCGATGGACATCTTTATGGACAATCAGCGTTTTCCAACGGTCATGGCACTAGGTGCAGCAGCCGTTGCGGCGGTGTCGCAATCGTTGCAGCTGCTGCTGGAGCAGCAAAACTGGACAACTTTGAGCATTCTCTGTCACCGGGATTCTGACGATCCCCTTCTGCCTGAACGATGTCTGTTCATTAGACGCTTTCTTGCCAAATATCGGTCGACAATTAATCCTTTATTTATTAATATTGTATCCAGTACCAGTATCGAGATCAGCGATGCACTAGCACAAGCGAAATCTTACAGTTCCGGTGCGTGCAGTTACAGCTGTACTTACCGCCTACCGGTAGCATAAATTATTATTACCTACAAGGTATGCCTCGCGCATCCGCGCTCGGCACTTAAGTACTGGATAGCATTGGCTTTCTTTCGGTTTTACTTTCTCCGTCGTTACAGTCGGTGTTAAGTACTGGGCTTTATTCCAGTGCTCTACATTTCCTATACTTAAGACCCACTGAAATTATTTCCTGACCAGAGGTCACTGCAAATATTGGCAATCTATTGGCAGACCTATGGAAAATATGGAATTTTTCAAGACAGCTTGACTAAAACTGACCACGCACTGACGAATCCATAAAAACGGCGCATACATACGTCTTGGTTGATAAACTTGCACGAATATAAAGATATGGCGGACGTAATGCGTAGCCTTCCGCAAAAATGTGTACATTGTGCAACTTGCACTTGTACTTTGTACAGTTGTACTTCTATTTGGCTTTAATGTATCATATTAGGCACACATAACCAGCAAAAACTTGCAGATTAAGTACTGATGTGGGCTTAATGATTGTTTGTTGCTTGTAGTTATCCTAATTCTGGCGCTACTTGACTACTGGAAACTATTCATGGTACCGCACCACCGTATAACTGGAAAAATTATGTTCCGTTTAGTATTGACGAGTTCTTTTTTAAATATGTCGATAATTGCTTTAATTTTACTCTATTTTTTTACAGGCATCTGCTGTGGATCTGAAGATGGACACAGGAAAGTTTGTATGTGTGACTCACTGTTAGCGTTCGTGTTGTAGTGTATCTTACCGGTATCCAAGCGTTCCATACAAACCAGAATAACCATCATTACTTAATTTGGAACTAAAATGTATCCAAATAAATTAGCATGTGCTTGCGACAGGTTATCATCGCTGTCATATTTCCCGCAGGTGTTTTTGGCTGTCCACTTTCCAGACATGTCCGTCGTTCAAAAACAACAGGTTAGCTGGGATACCGACGACGAACTAACCAAGGTTAGTATTGAGTGCTCATCGAACTATCCGTATTAAGAATGTCCAGATCATTTGGAGGCTGGAGCAAAGAAGTAGATTTTTTTAAAAATGCGCATTTATAATAATTATAACTTTGTCTGTGCAGATTTCGCAAAGATTACTTCCGTTTTGGTTCGAAATATCCGCCATGAGCCCCCAACGCCTCGGCTGATCCAAGAATGGAGAACAGTGACGAGCGAAGCTCGTTCTAACTACGGAGCAATTTTACCAACCAATGCCCAGGTTAACAGGCTGAACGCTTTACAAATACTGAAATACTTGCTTACTGAGAAATATAGAATAAGCGGAAGTGCATGAGCTGCCTACGAGTATATAGGTAACAGCATAAACGACGCTGACACATTGCGACCTTTGTTTTGCAGCTGAACCTGATGCAAATGTCTGCGTACGCTTCTGTTTATATGGCTTTTCAGGTAAGTTGCCTTGCGTACTGTGATCTTTTCGCTTTGTTCACAACTCAGAAATGTAATGTTTTTAGGTGAGATGATTCTAGAATGTATACGTGAGGCCAAAACCCAATCACAACCCAATCAGAACTTACAGGTTCTTACAGGTGGCATTTTTTTAAAAAAAGGTTCTTAATGACACTTACGAGGATTTACACGATATGGACGGGATGGACCTGGCCGAACTGTTTCTGAACAAAACATTTCGAACGCCGGGACAAACAATAACCGTTGATAACGATGGAATGCGTTTAACTGATGTGTCCATCAGACAGTACAACAACCAGACCTTCGTTCGTACAGTGAGTGCTTAACACAAGCTTACGTCATAAAGATTTCCTTTCGTAGTGTAAGGTAATGTACGTTATACCTAGTGTACGTTAATGTAAACCTAGGCAGAATTTTGTAAAACTAAGGTCGCAGTCTATGCTATCACGAAATCGGTTACACTAGAGGGGTAGCTGAAGTCCTTGCGTTTGATGGTTAAATTTTACATTTATTGCTTGTCCTGCAACAGCTAACGTGGCTATATTCTGCGGAAATGGAAAGCCTAAATTTTGTGCTGAATGCAAGCCTTTTCTGGCCAGGGAATGATGGCGTTCTCCCGGCCAACAGCTTTCCTCCATGCGTTGATCGTATTTGCGTGGATAGGTCAACAGGTATAGAACTGACCGTAAATGGATAGGAAACGTTGGAATTATGAACACCTATATCCGCAAACGCAGGTAGTCGACACCTTTATGCACAGTATTAAATAATTTATGATGAATTTGTATTAAGTATTTCTTTTTGTTGTTTATTGTATGTGCGGTAATAGGTCTTGGTTCGATCGATATTCATAAAACTTATTTCTCATCTGTTCAGGCAGTACAGTAATAACATAAATCTTGTAACATCGTATTGTTTTGCCACTTAAGTTTTTCTATTTTGATTCATTCGTGTTTTAGTTTCTCCTGGAACATACGCATTGGATACATTTCTAGGAATTTTGGGAATCAGCGTAATTCTAATCATATGCTCGTATTGCAGGTAAGCAGACATACTAACAATAACTGCTGCTAGCTTTCATGACAGATACATCGTTGTGAAACTGATTTCATTTCTGCAGACGGAAAACCGAGCTAATGGAAAATAGTTGGTGGATGGTAGAAAATTCCGATATTGTGGATTTGACTATGAATCCAACAGTATTCAGGTTTGCCGGTCTGGCAGTACCTTTTGTCGACACACACGATGGAACTCCTAAATTTCAAAATGCTCTGTACAAAACATTTCGTGTGCAAGCGGCGCATGTTGCACATGTTAAAACAATTGACGATGTCCTGCGAAATCGAGCCGCTATAGCTGTCCTGAAACAGGTACTTCTATCCCTAAATACTGTACTTTCTTAACAATGTTCATATTTTACTAAACATTTTTTCTTATTGCACCTCTTTGAACCAGATTTCATTTACTGACGGGCACCGATCGCCGGTCGTCGCCATCTTTTAAATTCTACAGTAAATTTAGATTTTCACAAATCACAATTGCTAACCACATTTACTTATGTATAAGGAAGGTTGTTATTCATGGTGCGCAACAGTATGCAGTAGAACTGCGTTTTACTTAACATGTTTTACCGTATTTATGGTAGATTCGAGAATGCAACCATTTCAATTTGGGAAAATTCTATGGACTGCTATTACCGTCGCAGTGGACACCCACATTCAAAAGACTGCTGGCAATTGTTGAATGCGGCCAAAAGGGACTTTTGAGAAACTACATTGATCAGGATAACCTTGCCTTCAGCTGGGACTTGCGGTTCTCCCTTATGTGGGATCTATTTCGCGTAAAATATTAATTAAGAAGTCTTTCATGCTATTTCATTCTAAAACCAAGAACGATCGAAATCAGTACGTGGATAGTGAAATGGTGCGCATCATATTTGTAGGCACTAGAATACATCGGCCGAATCTCGCTCCGTATTCATGGTTCTCTGGATTTTTCTTCCCTGATAATTGATGAACATTTCAGCCTTAAAATTGCTAGACTCGGAATGCATCAGTTACAGCAGTCACTGCATAGTTCTCTAAAGGCAGCTGAATCGTTTCCACGAATTTGCTGTCTTTGGATGGCGCCGGAAGTATTACGGAATACTAGTCATGCTCATACATCGACTGCAGACATATTTAGCTTGGGCGTGATTCTGTACGAAATTGCTACCCGGAAAACCCCATTCAACGTCGATGTGTTCGACCCAGTTGCAATTGAAGGTACGAGTACCAAAAGGGCGCAAATATGTGTTACTCCCGATTCCAGTTTAGGCATCTGTTGTTAATCTTGTAAAAGTATGATTATTTAAACGTTGTTCTTGTTCTTATAAACGAATGCTAACTGCAGCAATGGTGGAACGTGTTAAGAACGGTTTCCTAAAGCCTTCCACATATGAAATGAAAAACACTCACCCCACGATGGTTACTCTTATATACCGGTCATGGACGTTTAATCCCCAAAGTCGCCCTTCAATCGGAGATTTTATGCACGGCTTAAATACTGTACATCCCCATACGAATATGTCCTTTACTGACAGTCTCCTGATGCGCTTGCAAAAATACAATCTGGAATTGGAAGGCACCGTGACTAGTCGTACCATTGCTCTACGTGAAGAAGCAGATAAAGTGGACAACCTTCTGGGAAATATGCTTCCGAAGTACGAATCGCTATAATGTCTCTTTATTTTGTGCAACACACATGAAATTATTTTGCATCGTAGATCGATCGCTAAAGAGCTGAGAGACAAAAATTACGTCCAACCCGAGTTTTTCGAATCGGTATCCGTGATGTTTAGTGATATACCGGCGTTTAAACATGTTGTGACATGCTGTTCGCCACTTATGATTGTGGAGTTCCTAAATAATCTGTATTCGATTTTGGATACATTAATTCCATCCTACGATGTGTACAAAGTGGAAGCCATTACGGACCAGTACATGGTACGAGAGTATTTCAACAGAACGCAAAAAGAATACTCATAAACAATATTATTTTCAGCTCTATGGCCTGCATACAGGGTTGACAGTGAATAGTTTGGGGTTGCGTTGAAAAGAGTAGTGAAACCAGGCACCCAGTCGCACACCCATGATATAAAGCACTCCTAATACGTACGATTATATTCGGTAACAGACACCGTCTTTCAGATCGCAAGTGGGCTGCCGGCAAGAAATGGAATTATGCATGCGCAAGAAATTGGGCGATTAAGTTTGCAAATGCTACGATCAACGGATCATCTGACTTGTCTCACGGATGGCCGCGACTTTCAGCTTGTATTGCGTATTGGAATTAACTCGGGTAAGGTGACAACCTGTCGTTACCCTACAGATTTTGTGGAACCTGGTAGAAATGGACACAGTATAATTCACTTCTACACGCGTACTGGAATTGTCAGAGATAATATTATAATGTGTACTCATACGTATGAAATGTGTCCCATGTGGAAATTGTAATCATGTTGACGTATTATTTCACTGTATTTTATTTAGGACCTTGTGTTGGAGTTGTTATTGGCAAGCGACTTCCACATTACGTTCTGTAAGCCTGGAATTTTCTGATGACGTACTCGTACTTTAAATGGCCTAACGTACCAAAGATACGGAAAAAAATAAACCTTTATCAGGAGCTTGTAGATCCAAGGTCTTATTTGAGTGACATTTTCGTACAGCATTTTAATCTGATGGTACATTATCACCTTTGTGTCGTGAAATACCACTTTTGCTGTTAATTATGGGATTCTATATGGTTTCTTGTGATTGTTTTTGATTTCTTCGTTTCATTACAGAGTTGGAGATACCATCAACACAGCCAGTCGTATCGAAACAAATGGCGAAGGTACACAAGCGCAACCCTGTCGTACTGTAGTTCTTAGCGCTGATAATATCGGTTGTTGACCATTGCTTAGTGTGTAGTTATGTGAGCAGCATAGTTTTTTTGTTTAGCATTGTTTGCGTGAATTTGCTTTAACTCTAAGACCTATATTCTTACTAATATACCCAATGCTGTATGCTTGATAACCTTTACAGAATCTAGAGTTCATATTTCGGAAGCCACAAAGTGCTTGTTGGATGTCACCGGAAATTTCATCATCGAGCCAAGAGGTCAAGTTTGTGTTAAGGTACAGTCTGAACTTGGACGTCGGTACCGCGAATATTATTGTCGAACATTAGATAATCTGGCATTTCAGGGGAAAGGAAGTATGACAACTTATTGGTTACTCGACACAGTGGATGGTGTGTACAATTCGGCTAAAGAATTTTCGCAAAAAGAAAAATAAAGATGGCACCAGAATGGATAAATTAAGAACTATAAATGAAGATAAAATAACCACGCACTTTTCTAATGCAGTCCGAAAAAATGCGATACTTGAGAGTTTGAAATGTAATATCTTTGCTTTACCCAATTAATTAGTATAATAATTGCATTGCAGCGATGGTGTACCTACTATGTGGTTGATGGTGTACAGAATATAGATTGCTAAAAAATACATATAAGTACTAAAATCAGCTAATAAAGTTTGTTTGTAAACAAAAAATGCTCAGATGTAGATTGAACTTTCCGACTAAAGGCTTAACCTCTTGCACGCCTGAGTACCCGGCTATGGAATTCACTTTAGGCGAAATCAGTCATTCTGAAGGCCATTCTGAATTAAGACTTTCTGTTCATTTACTTTAGAGGGATTACCAGGTATTATTCTACCAAATTCTAGAAAAACTCCTGCTGATGAATGATGAAATATTATAATTTAACAAGAGGCTCAAATAATTGATGACTTTGTATGCGTAGCATAATTTTACTGCTGGCCGTTCTTTTTACATCATATACTGCTTGCGACCTACTGCGTGCTTGATTATGATATTAATAATTATTATACCCATCTACGGGGTATGTAATCTGAATGTCTCTGTATATTGCCGTATGCGTGTATGGGCATATTATTGTGATTCCATTTCGCTGTTTATTAGAGCGAAAATTGCGAAACAGTACTGTACTTAATTGCTTCAGTTGAAATATCGCTTAGCACTACTCGTAGCCATTTCCATACCGCGATACCAGATTTAGCTATACTTAGCGTAAAGCGCTTCCTAAATCCTTAATTATTATGATGTACGTAACAGAACCTGCGCAGAGTCTCCGTGACAACTTCCAAAGCACTGTGTACTGGTGGAAAAAATCCGACAATTAGACGTCATGAGCTAAAAATATGGCTTGGCTGTATTAGGATTTTACCGCGATCTTTCAAGAACTTTCGTAACTGCTAGCCTACTGCTATCGCGGCACCATGGATTGCAGTCAAATTAGTGACTTAGAAGATGCAATTACCGAAGAATTTCGAGCGGACTCAGAGAGCGTCTTGCGGTTGTTCTGCTATCGAGTGTTTGAGTTGATCATCGATTCGCGCTATCCTACGTCCGACTCCATCAAACGCAGCTGCGATACATATCGGAGCACCCGTCAGTCTTCTAACAGTGACCTTTGGAATGCTCACCTAACCGAGTCGGTAACTGTACTAGATATGCTCATGTATATTATAAAACATTAATAATGTAACCTTTTCCATGTAAGTGTTCGTATACGTACGAGAAATTCGGAGTGGAAGCACCGCTGTTTGGCGACATTCGCTTCACTCTCAAACGGCAACTCGATCGTCATAAGCACGTTCTCGACACTCCCATAATCCTGCTGACAACAGTAAGAATGGACGATGGCGATGATCTGTATCTGGAAGCCTTCTGGATATCGCTAAGTTCAGCAGACGGAGAGTGTCGCACCGTCACTGTCAGCGATCTTTATTTTCGGTTATGTATGGTCATTCGGTCAGTAACTGTTCTGGTCAGAATGGCTCCTGTTAGGCGGTTAGTATGTCATAATCATAATCTTATTCTTTGAGTCCTAATGCAGTTTATCTAGAAGAACATTCGATCGCTGTTGTTTCGGTTGGATAGTACCAGAATTGCGCGAGCTGAAAGATTCCCTACATTAAAAATACTGGATGATGTTACTGTATTTCACTTTATCCCGTAGTTTGTTGACGAGAGAGTGGACCGAAACAAAACACTTGTTTCATCACGTCATCTTTTCAAACACGAAAGCACTAGACAACCTCCACTCTTTGCCGGGGGTGCGCAAGGTATCACTTTTATAAATTTTGCTGCTCCATTACTGCAGTACTAGTCAGATATTACTGCATCATGCGTTGGCATTTTTATAACTGTTAGTATTTACTATTTAGGGCGCAATGTATAGTATTTAGTCATTTTAGTGTGTACTGTTTAGTGTGCACTTTAGTGTATTTAGTGTGTATAACTGTTGATATTAATAGTATTACAGTCACCACTCACCACCACATCGCGCCTCTAGTAATACTGTACAGCATGCTGCTCCTTCGTAGATTTCTGCGATTCTCACTCCGTTAGGTGAACTGCAGTTCGGTTGCGTTAGTCGCAGCCATGAACTAACAGAGAATGACCCCTGGAGCAAGCTGCACACATCATCCCATGGGCTGACCGAAGGTGCACTCATAGACCAAATGGGCAATTTTCTGGATTACATTACAGTGGAAAACTGCCGGTGAGTCAAACCAGTATTAGAAGCCAGCTTCGGCAGTTTCGACTGTATCGGTAGCGGTGTCAATGACAGTAGTGTCTACACCACTTATTTCGGGTAACGCAATTGCCGGGCAGTACCTAAGTGTTTGCACCACTTCCAGTTATTAGGTATCGTATTTCCCGCCTTCGTATTCCTCAAATTTGACCACAACGATTCCGATGGCAAACTGGTCACTTGCACTTTTTTTTACGGCTCAGCACATTGATCACTCAACAAAAGACATTTGATCAGTAGATACGTAGCGCGCAACAGGGGCTGTCGATGCCGGGTTAGTTGAACCGGTATCATCACTTACGGCGGTATGTAGTAAAAAGGCAAACCAGATAACGTTGCGCGCCACCAGCAGCTCAAGGTGGCGCGCAACATAGCTGCTGATTTGATATCGTTGGTTGGGTGATCAATATACTGAACCCTAAAGTGCAAACAACAAATTTGGCAGCAGAATTTAGTACAGTACTACAATCAGCAGATTCCGTTTTAGAAAATTCTGATTAGCACTAATGCAAGGATAGCACATTTTTGTCGAAAAAGAGCGGCAGGTTTTTGTCGTGGTTAAACTTTTTAAGGCAATTTTCCGATACCCACCGCACCGTACACACAGTACTCCCGAAAGACCTACGGACACACCACTCGGAGTTATGCCCACAACAGTCGGACGAAGTGATGCACAGGATCGCTTGTCCGTTCGCCACCACACCGAATCCTCCGGAGATGTTGAAAAAAGACGAGTTCCACTCCTTAATGGCTGCGCCTCGTCTCCAAGCGGCTATGCATACTTTGTCGCCAAGCAAGGAAAGCGATCGTCAAATCACGAAGTCTGCGTTACGGGCACTGCAAGAGCAAACTTCGTGTGAAAATCTACCTTCGGCTTCTGTACGTATATACTCCAGAACATACGCATAGACGTTGTTGTAAAACTGCCTCTCAGATTCGTCTTCTCTTTCTTTTGTCAGGGCTTGTTGTTTTCACCTCAATTTGATATCACCGGCCTAACGGACATTGCAAAGCTCCAACATCCCGTGTTTCCAAAAACGACCGCGTCAAAACTGTTACGAACGGTGCAGACAAGTTGGAGGCCAATCGAAGAACAGTTTCGTGAGAATCAGCAGTTTTATGAACAGTTTTGCTGTGAAATTAAGGAGCAGCCCGATGCGTCAACCAGCAGCTAGATTTTAAAAATCTCATATCCTATAAGCAAGCTAGCGCAAACTGTGTTTTGAGTGGTGTCTGCATGTCTGCACAGTTCTGAAAATTCAATTAAGATTATATGCGATTTTCAGTGCGGTACTACTTATTACTATCGTACTAAAGTGCCCGTCAATCAAAAAACCGATTCGTTAAAATTACCTGTGTCTAAGTGCTCGTAATTGTGAAGAAATATGCCGGTTCCACCAACCAACCAACCACCACTACAACATCTGTAGCATTCCTGTGGTTTATTGGTTAGCAATACTGTAGATAATATAGCATTAGTTTCCGCTCAATTTGTTGACCGGCTTGTAGGACATGTGGCCAGTTTTGCACCTTTGATAAGTGACAGTTGTGGCTTCGACTTCTTATCCATCAACCATGTGCGATACTGCAGTTCTCCATTGAACCTTTTTGTCGGTAACCGTGAACAGTCTTATAGTTAGTGTGAATAAAAAATGCTTCCATACGATCATCAAAATGGCTACGAAGTAATTTGTTTACTTTAAAGGTTGTAGGTTTTAGATCGGACGAGGGCGGGAATCGGTCAGGCTGAAAATTATCGTACAAGCCATCTAATTATGCGGATCCCGCTCACTCTATACTGGAGCTTCCTTTCACTTCATGTGCACTGAATATCATAAAGAATGCAGTATAGCTAGGATTTCCGACAGTGAATTGCTGCCGCTGCCAGGATGTCCTTTCTGTTGTTAGGAAGTTTTTTTTGTACAGTGATTTCTAATAAAATGATATTACTATCGTGCTTGTAAGCCAAACTAATTAAAGAATTGGCTAAACTATGTACACAGTAAAGTAATTACTCGTAATTACTTAAGTGGATATGCCGGTAGTCAGCCGAAACAAACGCAAGTACGCAAGCACATCTGCTTTTTGGCTACCAGTGCATACACAACTTTTTGTAGCCACTTAAAAAACAATTTCTCATAGACCACGCATGCATTTGTCTGCACACCACTTTGTCACCATCGTGCACAGGTGATCAGCTTGTACAGTCCATGACGCAGGTCTTTCAAGCTGAGTGTAAACAGAATGGGATCCATGACGGCTTGGAAGTTGTACAGGAGCGTCACCGACGAATCGATGCTGGGATTGGTTATGTTGGGCGCAAAGGCCACCGCCGTAAAGTAGATGACGGAGGGACTCCAGCACAAGAAGACGCTGATGGTTAAGAGGGTCAGCAGCAGAAAAGCGTGCATGTGCTTGCGACTGGCAGCCACATCCCGCTTTTCAATGAGGTTGGGCGCCACGGAGTTGCCGCGTGAACGCGCGCGCGCCCGATCGTGAGACTGGTGTGAATGATGTGATGAATCTGGCAACATCAAGAAAAGTGTTATTGTGCGTTTTTACTATTTATCAATTACTATCTATATTTATCAATTACTACCGTCACCGTTAAATGCTCGGCAGTGTATGTCAAAATACGGTATCTCGGATCAATCAAAATGGATTCGCCGATTGAGCCAACAACCAAACTCGAATAATACTAAAAATTAACTATATTGATAATATCATCTTTAATTTATTATTAAACTGGTAGCGAAAATTGCCAAGATATGAACGAAGCTTCGAAAAACGGTTGTTGCTATCTTAAAAAAACCGTCTGACCTGACATGTAAAGTGCAAGCAGTTAATTAAAATCAATAAATTTTAAAATGTCTGTTTAAGTATTTCTGGTGCAGGGTAGAAGAATCGAGTGTGTAACGTACATAACGATATTGCTTCAGTTGCCATACTGCACGTACGGTCTTTGTGCTCCACATCCAGATGCGTGTGCACCGTGTGCGCCCCACCCGGCCGGTGCTCGGACTTGAGCATGAAATGCCCGACCCGCTTACGCCGCCGCTGTAGCCACCAGATCAATGGGAAGACGCCCACCACGATGGCTTCTGCCGCCACACTGAAAAACTGCACCACCAGCATCCACGCCGCTTGTCCGGGCACATCCGGATTCACCACACACCCATCCGGGCCGTCAATCGGCTTCCGGTAGTATGCCGCGTCCAGAATGATCCCTGGCAATCCGACCAAATGCCCCAATACCCACGTGCCCAGACAGCAGACTAGGGCGGTGCGCGTGGTATGGTTTTGCCGGTAGTGGACTGGCAGCGCGATGGCCCACAAACGGTTTAACGCGATCAGGGGATGCGTCAGAAACTGCACGAGCGACACTACCCATAATCCGTACATGTACACGGTGCACCAGTTCCAGCCCAGATACCAGACGCTGACCGTGTGATTAATGAGATCCAACGGGCCTTCCACGGCAAAGTAGACAAAATTGGCTAAAGCCAGATTGATGAGGTAGATATTGAAGTGCACACGCAGGTGTGCTTCTTTGACGAAAACCAGCAAGGCTAGTCCGTTGAGGAATAAGCAGGCCACGGTTTCTATTAACGATAAAATGGCTTCCGACTTCCAAGCAGCGGTTGCGTTTTCGACGGTCACGTTGTCGATTAACGGATGCGAAATATTTACACTGTCCATAGTTCGCCTAATAAAAATATAAGATTTTAACTCAGTTATACTGATAAAGGTCAGCGGGTATAAAGCATGCAACACAACAGCTTAACTTTAAGCAAAAAGGTCATGCTCGGCATGGTGCCACTACCTATTGATTTCTGAGTTATTTTGTTTACGCTCTACCCGGTTTTTATATGAACGAGAAAATGGCAACGCATCCGCTCCATTACTTTCTCGCGCTACTTTAATGGATCGCGGTCAACGTGTGCGTGATGAAAGTAGGTAATGAAATTAGCCAATTAGTTTGCGGGACGGCTGCAACTCCCGTGTGGGGTTTAGCCGAGACGATGAACTTGAAATTTCTACGGAGACGGTGCACCGATACATCTACTTTGCTATGAAACCTGGGTAGATTCCGCTAATTTGCTAATGAAATATTCAGAGAAAAGTTATATCGTTAAGGGAATTAATCAGGGATACACGCCATCGCGGTTAAGACAGTATCAGGGTCACGCTGCCCGGTGCACACTCACCATACTCTCGAGGGATACATTATGCTGCAGGCAATACTGTCAACGTGCAATCAGAAGAAAGTTTGAACCGCTACATAAACCCGACACTTTAAAATGTGGAAGATTAACGTGTCGGTTCATCAGCTCAATTAGTGTTATTAAATGGGGTAACTGTTGGACAAAAAATAAATAGCAATAGAGAAGATTAATAAACTACTCGTTCAGCAATTTGGATATGACCAAGTTGGTTGTGTTGGTCGTTGGTTGAACCAACAAAGTGTAAAAGGAAATTCTTGTGTAGGGCTTTAAGGGGAGCGTCTGTGTTTAATCATTTGAATAATTTGAGGCAATCTGCCTATCAAGACGAGATTGATGAACGCATCGTACGCTGACACGTCATTTACCTTACCGCTGCGAAACCTCATCTAAATCATCTCGAAGCAAAATCGCTGTAATACTAGGACAGAAGCCTGCACTTCATTGAAAGAAAAAGCGCATTTCAAGTTTGGCTTGATGGATGGTTTCTGGCATGACGACCAAGATTAGGAAAATAGACAGTTGAAGTACTGCCATACCTTTAACGGTTAACCGATATTCTGCATCTGTCTCACAACTTCTTCTGCCTTACACTGCAAGACGTGTACATGTTGACTACATGTGCATTGTACTATGTACGTATTCAGTTCATATTTCTATAAAAGGAAAAGCGAAACATCATCGTGATCCCATCAAAAGTGTCGAGCCGGCAGATAAATGTGCTTTCTGCATCTGTTTGATGCGGGAGAGTACCGGATACACATGGCACTGTTTGCGCCAAATTCGCTGATGTGACGGTTGTGTGTTTCATGTACAAAACCGGGAATAATTTACCACTATGGTGTTTGCGGCTATCAAACGTGGTGCACTCGTAGGATTCATACACGGAAACAGTACCTTCAAGGTCACGCAAAAAAGGTTATTTTCTCTTCCAACAAATTACGAAAAATGGCACAAGCTAATTAACAAGGAATATCCTTGCTACAAGAAATTAAGAACAAAGTGTAAAAGATATTAAAATACATACGCATAATACAAATACATAAAAAAACAAATACATTGTAATACAAACACATAATACAAATACATTAAAATACAAATACATAATTAATTCATAATTATATTATTATAATAAACAAATTAGTAAGTATTATGATCATAAAACATTTAGGTACAGTGCCTCAGTTTTTGATTGATTATGATTGTACGAAACATCGTACAATTAAGTACATTCTTTGGTACATACTTTCTGCAGCATTTTGCACAACAATACGCTTAGATTCAAATTTTTTTGCAAAACTTCTATTGAAATAACGTGCATTTGACTTACCCAGGTTTTGACGACTGGAACGATGAGGTAATTATTACGTAATGAAGTCGAACAGTTTGATGTGATACTAGCTCATCGAATGCAACATCTCAGCAAAATGTGACTGCAAAACGATAAACTATCAACGCCTCCGTAGAAATATTGCATAACGCAGAAACCGTTTCCGTGAAATGGCGCCAAGAAAAGCCACGCATCGACGTCTTAAGCGCGTCAAAACACTGATCGGTACATAGGTATAGTCAATCCTACCGGCGAGTACATTTTCTTTAATTTTACGGCATTGGAACATTAACGCTCTACTCCCTTCCTTCTTCCTTCCTTGATTACAGTCGGCATCACCCACCCTAGGTGCACTTAAGCGCCAGTTGAACGAAAACAACCCAAAATAGCATCCATATGGTCCACACGATCGATTAGGCCGATTTAAGGTTACGGAATTTGACCAGTTGTTTACGACAAAATATTCGAAAACAGACCGATCCCCGTTACTACACCAACAGAATGCTATTGTGGCGATGATTGTTACGGCATGAAATGTGTGCGGCGTTTATATAAGCGATTATTACGAAATGAGACTTTCAAGTGCAGGTCATTCATTAGAGGGTGCCATAGAGGAAGTCAGTATACGGGAGACATGAGTAATGTTGACAGCTTTCCTTGAGAAAAGCAATCACGTAGCCGCGGTCAGGCGTCCGCGTTGTTTACCGGAACAGGACGGCCTAATGGATGGTTATTGATTGATTCCGGGTTAAAACTTTAGGCTAAAGACATCCAGCCAGCAACGCTTTATTGAGTGGCCGCAATTTTCATTTCCACCTTGATGAAAAGCCGGGCGGAGGATTGAGCACAATGGACGGTCGCGTGTGTAGCCATCAAAGCGACAATCAAAGCACAATTATGACAGGCTTCTGTAGATGTTTTTGCTTAGTACTATGAATATCGATTAGTTAAAAAAAATGTAATGAATAATATTCATACATAATGGGCAACAACATAATATGCGCGCTTATGAAGTAGTAAAATAACACTTAATACGTAGGTAATAAAATAACACATAATATACTTGTAAGTCTTGTATAAAACCTATAAATGAAAATAATACGCGTTTATATACGGTATGCAATAACACACATACAGAATATTGAGCATAATACATGTACAAGTTTACGACTATATCTGTATCGGTGGAATTTAAAAACTGTGCTGGCGCAAATTGATGGCAACAGTCTGAACACAAAAATGTCTACCGTCGTATTTGGTTGCCGCTTTTTACATAATATATGCGGATCGCCGTATATAAATCGTGTAAGCAATACAGACGTCGGTTGCCGGTGATCCGCCTTCCAGGTGCTAGTTTAAATTTCATATCGGAAAACATTTCCATATGATTAAAAATTCTGAGGATCTTCTTATTACTACGGCGCCCTTGATAAGCCGGAACCGACGACGGTTACGGTGCTTGAGTCTTGTAATTCTGAGCGGAAACAGATTTTATGTGTTGCATATTTGTGCTAATGACAGACTGGAAGAGTTCCTTTGCGCATGCAAATGTGATTCAGCATTTTATCAAGAACGCAGTTCTATTTAATTACGATCTTTCACCGTCGATGGTAGAACGATACCGTGAGGCAATGCAAGGATACCGAAACTAAAAGATATAACCGAAAATATTTACCTGAAAGAATATTTTTACAACGAATACAGTTACACCATATGTATGCTGTTCATGTCGCCCAATATAATCACTTAAACATGTCATTCACTTGATCGGCGAGCGCGAAATTCTTCCAATGCAGAACTTAAAAACGCATGGTTCTGGAAAAAATATTATTGATCTACGTAGTAAAATTGCCGGTATCCGCAGTTTCCGGCATCTAATAAATCGTATCATCTACCCTCTGTCTTTGTGGCCGTTATCACTTTACCGATTTGAATAAGGTCTGCTGTAAGTCGTGTACTCCGTATGTGCTAAATCGGTTACCTTTTTGTAAATGATCGAGTTGGCATCGTCATTATTCATAATTATTCATAATTATTCATACGTGGACTCTGCAATTACCGTATCACATCAATCGAAGCAAAGTTTTATTGCCAAGTTGATTGCAGTTTTGGGTAATTTACGATAGCGTCAGAAACATTACCCAAACTCGTTGTGCAACATTTGCACATTAAATAAAACAGCATCAACTTACGCCCGGCATGACTCACAACTATAAATACCAGCGAATTTTATCGCTATCAGCTATTACCACTTTTAGTGAATCATTCAATCACACAAGTCCAAAGTGTGCCGACAATGTGCTTCGCTGATAAACAAGGCGGCTGCCAAATTTGTGCACTGTGTGCAACGGAAAGCAGCATTCAAAGTTTTACACTGCCAAAATCCCTAAAATTTTTCTTTTTCAGACGCTATCTTTGCGCTTCTGGAGTCATAATAATTACCCGGTTACATAGTTTCAACACGAGTATTAGTGACTATAATAGAGAAATACTAGACCACGCAGAACTGGGCCATAATCAGCAGAGTACGTAGCGTACACTCGTGTTCTTCGCTTGAGAACGACAACTCTTACCGGCGGAAGGCTTTACGTGAAATTGTGTTTTGATGCAAGAGTGGAGAGTTTCCACATTACCATCACAATGCAGCGGATGGATAATGCAGCTGGTAAGAATTTTACACTGACAAGAGGATTTCCGTTAGGTTGAGTTATTGGTTCTAGCAACACGCCTCAGTTGCGAAAGAATAAATTACTAATTTACTACCTGTACTAAATAACTAACATAAAGCGTTATTACAACGATAATGGCTCATCCACTGAGCTTAAAAAGCAGCCGATTTACATAGACCTTCTAACTGCAGATTGGGAAAGCTAAAGTTTAATATCTTCCAGCATATAGCTACGCATTTGGTTTTACAGTAATCGCTGCGGTAGCAGACTGTTAGCTTCGCTAAAAACAGAACCGATTATTACAGAAATAATTTATCAGGACCTCATTTCGTCGAAAGAGATAATCTTACAAACGCTATGTCCAGTAACTACTTATTTTTCTTAGCAGTGAATAATCCTTGCTTTCTGGCGTTGATATTATCTGAAGTCTCCATAAACTAGTAAGAAAAATTTAAAATGGAACTCGAAATATTAAAGATCGTACACATGGAAAATGACATTCATGCACGATATACACACACTAAACTGACAGAGTACAGTACTTTAATTTACGATGCGCAAGCACAGCTATTAGACTCAAGGGATCGATTCTTTAGGTTTGGATATTGTGGAGATCAATTCACGTGTCCAGCAGGAACGCTTCTACAAATGCGAAGAACACTTTCTACTCGAAAAACAGGCCTTAAAGGTCAAACTCTGCCTACCCATGCGCTATAGAGTGCAAAAGGTCATAGGAATGGGAACGTACGGAATTGTTGTGTAAGTACTACAATAAATTTTTGTACAATCGGCCTTGAGGGTTTGTATTTCAATAAACACACTTGGGGAGATATCTTCTACTAACTATGAATTTGGCCATAGTACTTTAGTAACAACCATATTACAATATCAAGACAAGCAGTAAGAAGCTCGCTGATGCAGTTTAGCCACCGACACCCAAACCAACGAAAGAGTGGCGATAAAAAAGTTGACCCGCCCATTTACGACTGAGATCGAGGCAAGGCGGACGTTCCGGGAAATTCATTTGCTCAGACATGCCAGACATCCCAACGTAGGTCCCATATACGCAGCACAACTGTACATTGCGTGCGTTAACGTTCCAGATTTTGGTTGTTAACGGGCAGATTGTGTCTCTGGTGGACATTTTCACTCCGCATATGACCTGGACATCGTTCAGCACTTCAAGAGACAGAGAGGAAGTGTACATTGTGAGTGCCGCCCTGTGTGCGATCCACCAAAACATTTGCTTTACCCTGTTGTTCTCAAGGTCACGAGGTATGCCGGTCCGACTCTGGCCGAGATCATCGAAAATAAGAGCATTGCATGGTCGGCATTGGATAAAAAGCTCATGCTCTACAACATTTTACGGGGTTTGCAGGTGCGTTAACTTTCAAAACGATAGTCGACTGGCAAATTTTTGTTGCATATAAATTGTCTCCACTGGCGCGTATGCCGTGTTTCAAGTTATATAGATTTCGCTGAGCGCAAAAACTGCTTAGTTATTTTCTAGTATTGCTTGTTGGTACCGTTGCGGTATTTGCGATTTGGCTCAAGTTCTGCACCGTACGCTTTAAATCATTTTATACTTCCGAAAGAGTGACCGTTATTTTGTTTTACAGTTCCTGCATTCTGTTGGCTTGATACACCGGGTAAGTCTGTAGTACTGTGAGAGCATATGTTAACGGCTTTGCACTGCTCATTGAATAGCACTGCTTTACACTGTAGGATTTGCATGCTCTGATAATGTAATTTTTCAGGATCTGAAACCTGCCAACATTGCGGTTGGTGGTCGCAATATGGCTAGTATCCTCGATTTTGGACTGGCTCGAGCTGTTCCTGATGATTCCGCATTAACGGGTATGTTAAAAAATATGCAGGTTCGCGATATCAATCATCCGAAATGCCTCTCATAGACAGCTGCATCTTTAGGGTGAGACAGCTGGAACTTGTTATAACATTGTTTAATGCATTTTCCTTACAGGATACGTTGTTACCAAAGGGTAAGTCGGTCATTCTGCCATCACAGTGTCCGCATATTGCCCATAATATAAAAAAAGTATAACGGTTGAGAATGTTACAACTATTGCAGATACCGCGCACCGGAACTAATATACAACCTTTCGATATCGGAAAATGGTTTGTCGCACTATACGTCTAAAGGTAAACGCAAAGAAAAAATTGGTGTGACATTAGTAATCTCATTACTCGTACCGTTTTTCACACATTTTTAGTGGACGTGTTTAGCGCCGGAGTGATTATGGCGGAAATGGAACTGCGGAAACCGCTGTTCGACATTGTTGACAGTAAAATCACTTTGACCAGTTTACTTCTTATAATGAATTACGTAAGAAGGTCACAGCGGAATTGCAGATCAGAGAGGTTTCATTCACCTCGCAGCCTTTCTTAACCTGATGGGAAGGCCAAGCGACGAATGGCTGGGTACCATTGCTGATATGCCGGTAAGTAGATTTTCGATTTCGGACTTTCGATTTTGGAAGCTGCTGTTCGCTGGCAGCTTAATCTTCCGCCAATTTTTAAATGAACTTATTGATTGTTAGACCAGGACGGCCATAGCCAAGTGGAGCGACAGAGTGAAATCGCCTGAAGAATTACGTGCACAGTTTGAGCAACAGTTTATGAATCTTTCCGATGAAGGTGATACGCGTTACAGCATGATAGGCAGCTCAAGGCTGTTTTGAAAGAAAGTTTACTAAATTTAATCACTCAAGTAATGGCGTAATCGTCGATGCAGGAATCGACCTTTTAATACGCATGCTGGATGTGGATCCCCGTCGACGCATTAGCACGGCGGAAGCGTTAATGCACCCATATTTCGAAGGCCTTCACAATCAGGACAACGCAAACCTTGCGCACAATAATCCCATTGTGATTCCTCACGAAGATATCCTCCGCACAGCCGAACAATGGAAAAGTAAGGCTTGTCATGACACAGAACGGCGTTTCTCGGTTGCATGTAGTGCCATGTACCTTCGGCTGCGGCTACACCGTCAGATATTTATTATGTTCTGAGTGTACGTTCGTTAGCAACGTGCTGTAATCAGCATGATAAATTGCAACTTTAAACCGTCAAGTCGTATATACTTACTGTATTATGCCATCATCACGTTTCTGATTTTCTTTACGGAAATTTTTGTGTATTCTAAATCGATGTGGGCTTTGCAGGAGCAGTTTGGACTGAAATGCAGAATTCCGCAACCCAGGGCAATGGCGGCGCTGTATAGGAGTGTTTTCGGGGGCTGTGTGTTTAGTGGGAGGGGGAATGTTACTGATTATTTAATTTTATCGTAAATTTATACCTGATGTGTGAAAACTGAACACATACATAGTACATACTACTTCCGTCTTTTGGAGTAATTCTTCCTGCCATTGTGAATGTTAACAAATGGCTGCTCTTAAAATGTGGCTGGCAGCCTGGCTGTAACTATAAGGTTGTCGATAATAGTGAAGGATTTTCACCTGTGCTACATGCATAATCTGATCATTGTTATAAGCAAACTGTGAGGACAATATGAAAGATATTCTTACAGATTTACCTATACATAACCAAATATTTTAAAATTCGCAAGATTAGGTTCATTACGATTTTTCTAAACACCTCTCATAGTAAAAGAATGCAAATGCGTAAAAATAAGATAAAAAGAACTACAAGGGTAACTAAAGTAAGGTAACTAAAGTAGACAAGGGTATAAGAACGATACAATCATACAATTATCTGAATGGTCAAGCGAATTCAGTGAATCACGAAAAGAGGTACACATTATTTGCATTACTAGTAACCGTTATGGCGCAAAAATAAGAGCCTTCAACAGATTTCCCGCAATCTCAGCGCTGCCGTCAATTAACGCTTCAACGCGTCTGTGAGCGTCTGCAAACGCGTTTCTTACTGGCGCTATACCGACAGTATGAGTGGTTTGTACCACATCTTTTCGTGGATTCAGTGGCTCCTGAATGCTGAAAACCTTGTTGGGCTTTTCATCCAGTCGACTTCGCATTTGCTCACGACTAATAATTCTTCCACCATCCGCAAAAACGATAGCCTGGGTAGTGTAGTTAAACTCGGTACCATAGAATCGCAGAAAGCTAAGCAGCAGACCGCCCAGATTACCAGCAGCATCACCGCTACGCTGCAGCAGGCTGATCACCATTAAGGTCAGCACATACGAACTCATTCCACCGGCACAGGTGTTAATGCCATTTAATTCTCTGCGGCGGAGAAGCTCTTTCAGCACAACCACTAGCCGAGTAAGATGGGGATACCGGGCGCTCTACTCATTGATCCACTGGGAATTGAGCAATCCTTGGTGACAGTTGTGTTGAGTTGTGCACTGCAAAGTGCAAAATCAAACCATATCGCTAGGAAGCCATCGTAACGCCCTGTAAAATCAGTTACCGTAGTTATCGAATTCGAGCCCTCCCGCAAGCGCCTCTCCCCAATCATGTTTCAAAAATAACGCCACCCCCCGAAATTACGTTCCAGGTGACCGTTAATAAATGACTACCGCAACAAAACGTAGTGGTAGGCTGTTAACTCTTTCAAAAGCAGACAGAGGATATTTCTGTTCAGTTCTCTTTTACGAATGTAGAGGACAAATCCGGCCGAATAATTAAATACTGCGCCAAGTTTCGAGTCAACAGGATGCGCAGTTAGTCCGAAATATAATGGCCCCTTCCGGAACTTGCTGTTTGAAAAATAATGTCACCCCCCACAAGGCCCCCTCCGCCATGATCTTCGAACTATTTGCAGTCCAGTGCCACAAATTCGATAACTGCGGTATGTGTTATAAGAAGGCCTTCTTAACAGTGGAGTCTATGTGCCAGGTTCTAGAGGAGTTAGCTCAACGAGACCTTCTTCTCCGCGGGATACTTTGGAACTGAACATCACTTCTGCAAAAGTATTTGCGCAATACAGGGGCGCTTTACATACTTACCGTAATAACAAAGCTGACCTGGCTCTCGTATTCGGTGACTTTGAGATAGGGAACGGCAGCGTCTTTGATCCAACGAGCTGAGAAGCCGCTGCCGGTATCATATCCAGGGATGCTTCGGCCAGCACTCATTTCCTTTCTCAACGAATTCAACCAAGCTTGCGAGTGAGCGTGCGGATCGTCTGGTCGGCGGTGGCGTACAGTAACGAGCAGATCAATATCACTGAATCGTAGAAAAGTCGACGTTAAAGAACTACCAAATGGTTCCACTCTTGTATGAGGATGGCGTGAAGTAATAAATGAAGTAAGTCGTGCAATGGATGCCTCACGTTGCACCGCGAGGGCGCCGTGAGAATGGATAGAAGCGTAGAACGCATCGATTTCGCTGTTCAAAAGTTGGATAACAGCTGCGCGACGCTGATCAATATTCTGTGCCATATTATATTAAATGTCAGCAAAGACTCTACAGGTGAACAATTTCTCACACTTTACTGGAACAAAGTGAACGATAAAGCCAGATACGGTCATAAAACCCTGCAGCACTACGTCTACCTCGTACAACGTACACCACAGGGAAAAAGCTTAACTTTTATTTCATGACAGCTGCACTCCCGACAACTGTGCCGTCTCCACACAGTTGCATCAACTTATATACCACATCAATATGCATGCTCGCACAACACGCTCATATCGCATACAGCCACAAAGCTATAAAAACACACGCACCAATCTGACCACTGCACATCCGCTCCTGCAGGCCAGATTAATCCTGCCTTCCTCTCATTCCCACTTGACCATCGGTCACAAACACTCATGCATATAAATGCATAACACCATAAAGGCATAAATGTCCCGCACAAATATGATCATAAACCATACAGCTCAGACTCGGCACCAACAAAACCATAAAGATACATACAGCCATGCAATCCACGCTATCCAGTGTCCACGGTCGTAATCCACGATCGTAACAACGGCCAAGAACCCATACAAAACACAGAACCAACCGAAGGCCTACGCAAAATCTATGCGGCCAAAACAGCTGGTGCACTGGATGCTACGAGTATCTCAGCCAGCAGCCAGATAAGGTCTGCCCGACTCTGCAGTGGTCGTAGGCGGTGGGCCGCGTGTGCAGCAGCAGCGCCGATTGGTTAGCGCGACAGAGGATCCGCTGAGTATCCGCATTCCGCGATATACGTATCAGCAGCAGTTAAGGCGGCCCACCTGCGTGCGGGCGTACAGAGAACAGTCTCGAGAGGCGTCAAGCTACGAGTAGAGCCGCTCTGACACCAGTAGTGTTCAAATGTAGAACCTGTGTTTACCGTGTTTCCCGTGTTTTTCGAAATAGAAGCCCTGGGCTTCTAAATTTTCGAAGATGTCTAGGGGGAGGCTTATACAGCAGAAGAGGCTTATATGGTGGAGGAGGCTTTTAAATTTTCGAGGCATTTCAACTAGCGCTATTTTAATATACCGTTTGTGTAAAGAGGCGTCTAATACGGAGGAGGCTACTAAATTTTCGAACTGTAATGGGGGGAGGCTTATATGGTAGAGGAGGCTTCAGTTTTGGAGGAGGCTTTAAATGTGAAAAACACGGTATACTCATATTAGTTTTTATTGTGCAGCAGATTTACATATGCATTCTTCTTGCTTTCAGATCATTCTCATGAGCACTGAGCAACATAAAACAAATTGCGGCAATTATTAAGCAAACAGAGACTCTACGACGGTGATGTCAGGAATTAGAAGTAAATTTGGATGACTCGGCACAAACGTCTTAGCACGGTGTCCGACCATTCCGGCATAATTTTTAGCCCTTCCTGTAAACGCATTACGAGCCGGTTTAGTGAATGATCAACCGAAGGAGTTTTTGTGTCATCTTAATAATTGTGAAATGCTTCCCAAACAGCTATGTCGGTCGCTATAGCAATTGGCTATGGCAAGATGAACTAGAAACGCGCTAGCAACGAGAATAGAACTAGCAACGAGCTGCAGCGGCAATCGAAACCTGAACTGTAGGATTTCTGACCTAATGTTATACCGTTTGTTACCTCATAAACAATTCTTAGTTTGCAATTTAACACTGTAATATACTTTAATTTCTGTATAAATTTCTATTGTGTCAATTTCTCCCGTCTTTCATGGAAGTAAATTTATTGAGACATAAGTACTGTATGGGTGGGTTTGGAATTTTTATTTTAGCTCTGGAGACTGGAAGGTCCTTATCGCTCGTAAATGGAATGGCTACGAACGTAGCTATGTCATTGCAATGACAATCACATCTAATTGAATGTGATTTCGTTTTATTTGTGGGTTTAGTCTGTATGATTCAGATGTGTTTTTTGGTCGGGCTATAAGGATTACGTGCATGTGTTGACAGGAACGCAAACAAAGCTGTGATGGGGATGACAAACACTGGTGCAAAAACAGAAAGAGCATGCCCAACGAAAGACGATCTGGGTTTCATTTTCATGGCGGTAAGTTGTGTAAGTGGTAATATGCATAAATGCCTCATTCGCCGGTGCAAACGGTGTCGACGCTATAAACTGATTTTTTGGAGAAGGGAATTCCTGAGGTTGCTGTTCTACGTTGTGAAGACTTGTACTCGTTTTTATTTTTCAGCTATATGAGTATACGTGCATTTAGAACTTAGATGGCGAAAATAATTATTGTTATTGTAGATTATCTGGTAAACCCACATAATACTCGTACGTATTTGCAGTTTCGGAAAAATGTTTCCAGATTTTGAATGCGTAGGTCACTGTTAAGATAGAACTCAGATAATAAGTAGAATAGTACAAGCCCAACACTGATGAATATGGGCTCACGACTATTAATTAACGAATTAACGCGCTACTGTAGATTTATTACGCAGCTGGAAGCAGCACTGTTTAAAAAAACTGCAGCAAAGTTGCAGATGTAAATTATATGTCACGATAGCTTGTGACGTATGGGAGTAGGATCATACGCCGGATGTACGTACGGATGCTGACTGTCCGCCTTCCACCTGCAACACAACGGATAATCTAGTCAATCTCTGCTGTGATTTGCTGTTCTCTTTTACTAGCGAAGTATATGATGTCATAACGCAAAGTCTATATAAGTTCTTGTGATGCCTAATATCGGTATCAGTAGTCTGAGATTTACTTCTGAGACTGCTTCCTAATTACAATTTCCTAGCGTAGTAAACTGTGATGTGTATTGGATAAAGAGACAGCAATACTTGTTCCTACTGAAGTGCATAGTTGTTCCCGGATTATCGCTTAGTATACAGGTTTGCTCGTGACACAATCGTCCTAGCTCATGCCGATCCACACAGGACTTACGACCGGAAGTTGTGGTTAGCTCGTTCCTGAGGGATTCCTGATCTTCGGTGTTCCTGATTCGTTCGTCTTATTTCCACCATAGTTCTTCTGTTACAGTTTGAGAGTACGAGTGCCTACCGATTGAGCATTACAGGCGTGGAAGAGTAAAGATTGTTCATGGAGCCTTAACCGGCGTGAACGCTTATACACGACATGGCGCCCACCGGTGTCTTTTAATTTTCCCGATGTAACAGAAAATTATTGGTGGAAAGTTTGATAGTAATTTTCGGTAATAAATGGTCCGTTTTTGAAAGGCGTCGAACCGCAAAGGTACGCCGAAGGAGGTCAGCGTTCCCGATCTGGCCTAGTTAAATTATTTTCAGCGAGCTTCCTCGCAGTTGTGAGCTTCCTCACTGGTGAGCTTCCTCGCCAATTAAATTAATTTAATTTAATTTAAATTGGACCGTAGGAATTTAACAGTCGAAACCTCAAAGGTCGGCTGTGTAATTCATTGGTGTCTGTGTGGGTAATTTCCGGGTTGTCTGCGCAAAGCAGTAACCGCGGCGAATAAAGTGTAGTCTGCAGTGTCAGTGCTCCTGGCCTGCAGATAGAGCAGATAGTAAGCACCGAGCCATTGTCAGTGGCCAGGTGAGATAACGATCTCCAGCAGACTGATAAAGGCAAGCCGCAAGCGGTAGCCAAAATCAGCAGCTAGAGAGAGTTGACCGTGAAAAGGTGAACACCGGCAAACGGTGATTGACCTGTGAATCTTAAAATTACAGCAGCACGCAAAGTGCAGCAGTGTAATTTTAAGAATTTGTTACAGTCGAAACCGCAAAGGTTGGCTGCGTCTAAACTCACTGAACAATTCAAACCTAAAAGGAGGATTGGGAAGTGAGGAGACAGTAATTGCACAATTGCAATTTTCGGAAACCAGTAGCACAATCGCTGCTGTACCTTTTATTTTAATTAGCCGCAAAGGTTATTTAAAATAAAAAGCAGAAATGTCGGGCGGTCCGATTCCTAGAAATCGCCCACCACCGCGTAAGATCCCAGATAACAAAGTGATTATTGGGGCGTACGATGGATCGAGAGCTCAGACAAGGTTTAAATTTAATGCAAAAGAAATCCCGTTGAATTTAATGTACATCGCTCTTAATGTCGAACCACCAGAAGCACAAGATGCATTCTGTGGGAAGTCATGGATTGATTACCAGGAAATCAGGCGGTACTTAAATTCTAAAACGAGATTACCAGCACATTTTAAACCTTGGATTGAGTACGAGGGATGTATCCCTGAAGCTTACCTGGACATTACTGATGAGCAGTTTAAAGCTGCCTTGCAGGATGCAAACAGGTGGCTGCCAGAATATACGGAAGATTTGAATAGACGCAGAGAGGCGGCCCAAGCTGCGCTTACAGCGTCAAAAGCAACCGGAAAAACTCCCAAAAAACAAGCAGCAAATGAGCGCGTCACGCGCGGTGCCAAGGAGAGAATTCCAGCCCAGGCATCTGGTGCGATATTGGATGAACCCATATCGGAAACTCCAAGTGTGGCTGAGAGCCAAACAGAACCTCAGTCGTCCCAGTCGGACAATAATTTAATAGCGTTGGCGGCTGCGGATAAAGCAGACGTATCCGAGGGATCAGAAACAAGAGCAAGCAAAAGCATTCGTGGTGGAACAATGACATTCCACCCGGCACAGCTAAAATTACATAGTTTTGTGTCAGAAAAAGATTTTGAGCAACCAGATGAGGACTTCCTTACCCAAGCTAGGGAAGTTGATGAGCAGTTAGCTGCGGCAGAAACTGACCAGGACGTGGGCTTGATAGTTCGGCAAACTATGCCCGTATTGATCCAAAGTCTCCGCACGCTCATCGCATCTACAAAAACAAAAGTAGATGAAATGGGTAATACAATGTCTTTAGACGCTCGTGTAGATGCGGAACGAAACGAAAAATTGAAATTCCAAAACGATTTCAATGAGATGCGTGTTAAATTTGAAAATGAACAAATAGAAAATGATAGATTGGCTAACGAAATACGCATTGCGAATGATAATCTGCACGGTTTAAGACAAGCCAACAGAAATGCGGAGGCCGCATTTAATGCAATGCAAGATGAGCGCGATACCTTAAAAGACACGAATCGTAATTTTGAAAAACAGTTGGAAGATGCCCAGAGAGATCTTTCAAGCGCGAAAGCTACGATTGATGGCCTCAGTGCGCAACCAGCACCGGATTTAATGAAACAAATAACTGATTTGAACCAAAAGCTGTCGAAAGCTCAGAAAGATTGTAATTCTGAGAAAGATGCGCATAAATTAACTAATAAAAATTTGACGGATGCGCAGAACCTGGTCACAAAACTTACCAAAGATTTGGAAGATGAAAAGAAACGGGCTAAAGATGCGGAAGATTCCCTACAGCGTGAACTCACACAAGCGAGAGTGCAGCTGAACATTAAGTCTTCAGTCGGTCCGATGCATATCCCCAAGGAAAAGGATGATGCGTCCCAAAAGGAAATTGAGAGACTGCAGGGTCTGTTGACTACAGAGCGAGAGAATGTTCAAAAGGCCCAAAAGGAATTAAAAGATTCGAAAAAGGATAAAAGATGTGATAATTGTGAGAACGCGATTCAAGCGAAAAATACAGCACAGGCTGACGCATATGAAAAGTCTGAAAGGTGTAATCGATTGTATGAGGAAAATGCGCAATGCCGAAGGGAAT